TTTTTCCTGCTTTTCTCGCTTGCGTTTCAAAAAAATGCATTCATTTTGCTGTGGGCACTTTATGAAAGGTTGGAAGTGTGAGAGAAACTGCAGAAAGACGAGTAGTGGGGGCGCTGGGTGTCGGAGGCTATAAATGGATTTCCAGCCAGCATTAGTAATTAACAGTCATTAAAATTAATTGTCAAGTGTACAATTTGAAATGAAACATTTGGCTTCAATATGAGCTGTTTTTAAGTGTTGTTAAATCATTACTGAAGCAAACCAGAACTGTTTTAAAATCTCCGCTCTTGGACTCCCACATTCCTACCCTAGCTGCACTAGCACTAGGCGATCATTCAGGATTACCACTGATATTTGGAAAACAAAACTTTCAAAGAAATCACTGATTTCAGTGGAATTTCCCCTGAAATGTCTATTTTGCAGGCACAAGAAAATTAACTTGTTTCTCGTTTAATGATTCTTAAGTGCAACTGAGATCTTCAAAGTAACAAAGTAACTACACCTTTTGTGTCAGTCAGTGGACTGACTTGCTGTGTCTTTTCAGACTTACATTGATACCCCAAAGAGATTTGTGTTGGTTTCAGTGAGAGCCTTGGTTTGGGTCTCAATTTTGAGGCTCAAGCACCACTTCTGGCACTTGGCTCACAAAACTTTTCATTTGGGGGTGAGCACAGAAAGAAGAAAGCAACTTGACTTTCCAGTCCCTCATTCCGTTTGCAGACCTAACAATTATAAATGTTGTTGAGCACTTGTAGTAAGGAAGCTGGAGATAATAAAGATTAACTCTCAATTATTTCAGGCACACTTTTCAGAGCAAAGTGGTTTCAGAGATGCTTTTTTCTACTGAGCAGAAAAGAAATAATTATGGGCCAAAAATAGCTATTGGTGTGTTATAATCAGTTCTGTCATCTGTGAATGCAAATACATTTTGTACCACTCTAAGGTTTAAAGCAGCTTTTGAAGCAAAGCTGTCTTTGCTTTCTAGGAAGACAAGTGGGATGAATGGGACACAGTTCCAAATAAGTTCTTATCATGACTAGGTACAAGGTTGTCCATGCCTGTGGGGCACAAAAGGCATCTCAGCCTACTCTGAAAGCGTACTGAGATGGCTAATTACAGTCATCTACCATTACAGGATGCTAGACATCCTGCAGCTGCTGTTTCTCTTACTCCATAAACAATAATCACTTTGGATGTCAGGGTAGGAAGCAGACAAGTGGGAAAGCCTTGAGTTTGGTTCTTGTCTTTGTGTTCTAGTGTGAAGAGAACAAACAGTACACAGTGAATGTAACACTGTTCACAGCTTCAGCAGTGTAGAAATACACTAAGTGCAGAATAGCTGCGATTAGAGGATGGTAGACAATATTGCCTGAAGTTGTTTTGGTAAAATAATTGAAGCGAGGTTGTCTTGTGTAGCCAAAATATACTACTCCTTTCTGCACTGCATTCCAGTGATAGCCAGGAACTAGCTCAGGTCGTGGCAGAAGTTAAAATAGTTGCTGAGCTACTTAAGTGTGTGCTGGGATGATCTAGTTCTCCGATTCAGGCCCTTGATACAGGATCAGAGTTCAATCCTGGCCTTTCTGTCTGTGAAATTGTAGGAGGAGTGTGAAGTCTGAAGCCATGTTCAGTTATCTTTTAGCATTTCCAGTCATGGCACCTTAAAGAGATTACAGCCTTCACATGCTTGTCATCTTCCCTCCACCACCCTGCTCACTGGTAGAGCTGTTTGAGTACTCACTAACCCACTTCAGTTTAAATCAGCTGGGTTAGGAAAGATCTACTATTCAACAGCTTACTGTTTAAACTAATATGGCTCATTTTGACAGAGTATCAGGTTATACAAGCAGCAAAGAAGGATGGTGAAAAACAGATGGGACACTAACTTCTTCATCTGGAACTCGAAGATCTGAATCCATGCCTTGAGAGTATGACTCATGGGGTTTGCATCACAGTACCTTATACTCTGGAGGAGGCAAACTCTGAATTATATTCTGACCATGTTGCTTTTTACAGCATTAACTAAAAAGAACATTCTGCAGCTAAGGCAGCCAACCTGATAGAGCTTTTTGCTTCCCTGCTCAAACAACAGTGCTTTCTGGTGTTCCCTCGGGGTCTGCTTTGCCAACTGCCTAGTCTTAGTATGTAATGTAGTTCTGTGTTTGTGATACGTGTGTTTGTATTGTCATTCAATGCGATATTGTGTCAGATACTGCTATTTCTATTTCATCTATGAAACACATGCCTTTTAAGAGAAACTCAACAGACGAGAATGGTTTGAGGGCAAACTCCCCACTGCAGTTTCTACATATCTCATATATGACAGCTGTACTTAATGTCATTTCTCTACCACTCTGAAATCACAGACATCTCTCATTTCTATCCCCAATTAGAACAGGGTGGTTTTTTCACCTGATTCTGCTTTCACTTAGATCAGAATAAATAAGAAGTAGCTTCACTGAAGACAAAAGATGCATACTAGCTTGAAACCTCAGTGAGCCTGGGAGGTGATGACAGTCTCAGTCTAGTTGGTATTGAAAAATAATTCATGTCTTATGGTTTTTTGCTTCTTGGATTTTCTCATCTTCGTAGATGTTTGATGCCTTGATCATAAACATAGAGGACCGTTCTTTCTTGTATAAACCCCTCTCTGAATTCATGCTCTGCACAAAAACTAGCCTCGTGTTTGCCTTTGGAGGCCTGCCCAGTGCATCTCTGATACTTACTGAGTTAGAAATGGACTGTCTTAACAGCCTCATTTTACATACGGTTACAACTTGCTCTCAAGTTTTAACCACCCAGAAGCACACTGGCAAGCTCCTGCCTCCCAGGCAGTTTAAATTTGATGATTGACATTCTCCACATATCCAAGAAAGTTTCTCCTAAGAATGCATGTTAATTAAATGGAGAGCAGACCATTTTCATCTTGTTATTCAGAAATGGTCTGATTTCTGCCAGGCATGCTGTTTGGATTTCTCAACTGTTACCCAACTATTACAGCTGGACCATCCTGACACAGTTGTGTTGTCTGTCATCCCTGACTGCCATCAGTGATAGCACTCACAGCAAAATTTCTTCCTGTTTCAGATTCTCATCTTTGTATACTGAAAACTCCTGCCTTCTTCGCTTGTGCTTACAGACTTAACTTTTGGTGGTGAAGCAGTCATTTTTTCCCAACTCCTCTCAGTCAATATCTGTGAAATTTCAGCTAATATGTAGTTCTCTAGAAAAGTATTCGTGTCAGAAACATACGAGTTTTCTCCTACTTGTCATCTAAAACACCTGCTTTCTATGGCCTCTCTATTCCAATGAAAAGTATTTGATTTATAGATTTAGTAGTTTCAAACTCTTCTCCCATTCAACGCAGTTTAGAGAAAACTATACGTCAACTAAGCTTCTTTTCACTATCAGTCATGACTGAGAAGCCAAGATAGATCTTGGCGATTCATGAAAATGGGGTCTTTTCTCACCAGCATTATCCTTTGTTAATCTAACCTTATTTTTCATGTTTGACATGATTTTGAATCTTCAAGGAACAGACATTATTGCATAGGATAAAATATTTTTATCATCTCCTAAAAATATGCTCTAACGTGCCACAAAAGGAAATATTTAGAAAAGGAGCACAGGTTAAATGGGAACATCACAGTATAATGTAGAGCCTTTGCTTTAGTAGTAACCAAGCTGAACAGAGAAAGTGCATTTGAAAGCAAGCTAGCAAAACATTTTGTCTTTGAATCAAAATTTATAATATGTCAGAAATCGGTACCTATGAGCTACATACATATTACTTATGAGAGACAAGGGTTCAGTATTGGGTTTGTACTGTCAAGGCCCAAGGCTTGTCAGTCCATGACCCAGGAACTTGAAATGGTGGATGAAAGCTTTAAAAAGAACATGTTCCAGCTTGCTAGAATTCTGAATTTCCTGGGCAAGTCTCACTTTCCTTCTGTGATTGGATGAGGGAGAGAGATACATCTGAAAGGTATTAAAAGTGGGATAAAAGTGAATAAAATATTGCCTCTAGAATGACAGAGTGGAGCTTTAAATTATAAGAGACTAAGTTTACTCTTCACATCTTGAAAACCTCTTCCAAATTTAAAATATGTATTTCACCTCTTCCATAAGTTCTGTTGTGCTTTCAGTCTCAATAGTTTCATCCAAGACAAAATGTGTCAGAAATGAGGGACTCAGTCTATAAAATCCCTGGTCACACTTGTACTTAACTTTTCTATGGACCTTTTTAGGACTCTGCATATATTCCTTTAAAGAGGTGCTCTGGTTTTCAGAACACTCAGCTTCCAGTGATTTCTGGTTTTCTAAGCTATGCATTCTAGGACTTTGTTAGCTCAAGCAGATAACCAAGTGCCCCGATTTGAGTGGTGCTTGGCTCTCCCTATGGTTTCTGTTTACATAGCTATCTGACCTTGCTAAGAGGTACCCACTGTTTCTGAAGTCTTAGGTTAACTGTCCCATAATCAAGAGCAGCAGATATAATCTCGCTTTCCTCCTCAGGTAAAAATTTGTCACCTTCTTATCATTACAAACACCTGTAACTGTGAATATAGATGATGTTTATTTGTTACGTGCTTTTTTCTGAGAAAACCTTGCAGAGTGACACTTGTGTGGGGCCGTAGCTGTAGCCACTATGAACAGCATGAGTTCTCTTTAGCAGGAAAAACTGCTTCTTTGTTTTTAAATTGATATTTGAGGAATTAAGAGTTTTCTCTGGAAAAGAAGGGAACAAGCACTCTGGTAAAACTATTTTGGGGGCACTAATAAAGATCCGTCTTGATGATCTTTAATTTACTTGAAGCTACCAAATAAACAGAAATAACAGTAGCAGCAGGCCACTCAAGCAGGCAAACACTTAAACTGGACTATGTACATACAGTTACACCAGTATTGCAGTGCTTTGCCCTGTGACAAACTGATACACTCAAAAAAACCCTAATCTGACCATCTTATTCCTTCTCTTCGTCTCTTATTTTGTTCCATAGGCTTCCTCTCACAGCTCGTCTATGACCGGCCAGTGACCGAGTGCATCCGGGCTGGACATTATGCAGCCAGCGTAATTATCAAGCGTTCAGGTTGCACCTTCCCAGAGAAGCCTGACTTCCACTGATACTGGTGAATTGGAGGGATCAAGAGTAACTCCCACGTTGCCATGGGATTGCTGCCTAAATTTTTCCTCCTTCCCTTTCCTCACCTTTCCAATTACCTGCATCAACGCTTCTGTACTTCTCTTCGTTGTATTCTAACCAAAATATGTGTTTCTACAGTGTTTTCCTTTTCATACCACTACAATGTCTCAGTAGTCTTAACTTTTGGAAACAGTGCTAAGTGAAGCTTATTCTCTCATCCGTCAGGAAAAATTGTTCCATTTATACAGTTTACAAGGAAGTCCCTTGTAAATGACATTGCTGATTAACACCAATAAAATACTTTGGTTGAATTACCTAGTTTGTATCCAGCTGTGGCCAAATCCTGCTCAGCTTAAAGGAAGTCACTTAGCATTACAAACAAAGAATTGTTATTTCTATATAGTGGGGTCATACTAGTGTAAAGAGCAGTGTAAATGTCTCATGAACTTCAACATATTCAAGTGTACATGATCTGGCCATCAGATCCAGCCCACCAGCCACGAAAGTGAGTAGTAACTTTGTCAGTAATTTAAGGACCTGATCCAGAGCTGATGTCATTCAGTTGTCTTGCGCTGCTGCTAGTAGCTTTGGGTCTGGCATGTGAGAGCAGGGTCTGGCCACTCCAGGTACAGTCACATTCATCTGTCAGGTGAGCTAGCAGGTAGGTACTTTCAGTGATTTCAGGGCAGATATATAAGTTGGTGATGAACATAAACATACAGATAGATCCTATCTCCTCCATGTGAGCTTTCTAGAGGCTGTATTAAGGTACACATAGTGAAAATGAGGTACAGAAATATTTATGCAGGATATATTGACAGGATATGCCAAATGGAATCTCTGAAACGCACATTTTTAAACTTTTAATTTACTTTGGATAATTAAGCAATATGGTGGATTTTGTTTGTATTTACAGTATTCAAAGAGATGATCTGACACTGCATTCATTACTTTGCTATGTAATTTGATACTGATAAATAAAAAATTGTCATACAGTAACTCCTGGTTTTGTATTGGTATGTGTCTGGTTTTCCTCCACCTACTGAAATGGGAACAAGAAATGGGTGCCTAATCTACATGCTAGATCTCACATTTCATACAGGACTTTCTCTGTCCAGGTGGGTGTTCAAGGGTTATCTCAGCAGTAAGAAAGGGAAGGAATATCAGTTTGGTGTTTGTACCACAGGAGAGATGAAAAATTAATGGGTAGGATTCATGAAAGAACATTAACTCAGTGCAGGCTTTGCAATTTATTGCATGGCATGGAACAAGGGATGCACAGAGATTGGATGTTGTTATTACAGTTTGTGTATTGCAGTGAGCATGGGGAGAAATCAAGGCTATGATCCTGATTCCCTTGTTTGGTCCAGTATCCGGTCTGATACATTGGACACCAGGCTCTTTCATTTTAGAGATCACGAGGTGGGATCCCTGCAAGTACATCAAGGAGCTTCAGCCGTTTCTGAAAATCCTCATGGGGCCATAGAACTCCATTGCTGCAAGTGCATCGTAAGTGCAGTCTGTTCTTCAAGGACTCAAGCTCACAGTTTCTACCTGAAACAGGCTGCGTGTACAGGCCTTGTGTATCTACAGACCTACTTATGAACAGCTTTGTGCAAGCAAGACTTGTCTGGTTTCTTCATAGTGCTACTCAAAAGAACTTTGGACTTGCATCTCATATTCTAGCATAGGAGAGAGGAAGAGTATGTTGGAGTGCAAATGAACTGAAAGAGGCTACAGTGTGCATAGTCTTCAGGCTTGATCAGAAGAATGTTATTTTTTACATCATGTTAATTTTTAGTTCTTTAATTCAGTGTGTCTATGTGATATATTTTAATCAAGAAAAGATGATGGTCTGAGGAAGGATGTGTTGCAGTCCCTGCTTTTATGTATGCTCACATATGCCACACCATGCTTATTGCACGAATTTGGCTGTAAGTGGTTAAATTTGCTGTTCCCTTTGCTCTACATCCTTGATGCTTTCCATTCCTTTTGAAAAAAACTTTATCAGTGTCCTGGCCAAATAATTAAGGCCCACTTAAAACAGAATATAAATATATAAACATTATACCAATCAAAATACAAGACAGCATGACTAGTGTAAAGGAAGGGAGGATATGTAATGGAAGGTAGCTATAGCAGGGAGATCTTTCATCCTTCCTTTCTGTAGACTAGTCCTTGTTTTCAATTCAGGATACAAGAGAGTCAAGGCAGGGGTTCTGTTCTGAGCTTGGTGAGCTCCGGCTCCTGACATTTGGCTCTGAGTGTCAGCTACAAAGCATAATTTTAAGCCAGTGGGAGCAGCTGAGGAATGAACATGGAAGGGCACTGGAGCCTGACTTGTTCTATTTAGCCATTCATTATTTCTCCGATATCTGTCAATGATTATTCCTGGATGATACATAGATAGCTAGAAATGTATTGCCAAATCATGCTAAATAATTTCAATTTGTGCTGTCAAATTGCCTGATGATTTCATTCTGGATTCTTTTCAGGATCTGTATTTCTTCCCTGTTTCTCACTGATGAAGGGGGTTTTTAATCTATATAATGAATAATGGTGCCATCCTTTATATCCTCTCTCACAAATATTCTTCCTCTCTCTTTGGTCTTCTACCAGCTTATTCCACACAGAGGCATGTTAGAAAACTGGGCTTTCTGAAAAACGTCACTGAAAGAGTTGTCTGCCAGTGACATGTGCCACTGTCTCAAATCCCAGATGGGATAACTGAAGTGAGTCTGTCACTGAGCTTGAGCCATCATTCAAACCCAGAGTTCTTACCTGGGTTACTTTGAGGAAAACAAATACTCTAAATCCACTTCTCACTAGTCGCCAGCCAAAGCACATCATCCTCACTCACATAAAACTCTTCCCTTTTTCTGGACAGAAGACTGCACCTCCTGTGCCCAGCATCATGCATTTTAGACTTGTTTTAGTACCATATAAGTGGGTAGCAATGCTGCTGAGACCAACAGGCAAGGAAATAAGCCTGCTATTCAGACAGCCACATGCTAAATAACTGAGAAGAATCAATAGCTGGGAATCAGGATATAAAGGTTGTGTTTCTGTTTCTGCAGATGATCCACATTGCTCCTTTGGGCACATCGCTTTCCTCTTGCTATTTCTTTCTCTCTAAAGATGGTAAGCTCAATTAGATGATAAACTCAAGAGATGAAGGTGGTAAGAACTGCAGTAGGGCAGCATCAGCCACATCTCATGTTTGCCTGTACTCATTGCTGGTCTTTTCATTATTTTATTTTTCCCTTTTGTACATAAACTAACTTAAAGCAATATGTTTACCCTTTAAAAACAGTGCAAGCAGTTACCACTTGTTTGAGGGTTAAAGCAGGGAAGGCAAAAGGATAAGAAAGGAAAGAAAAAAGCTTTACTTATAAAGTGAAGTAAAATATGCTACATGAAAATGACAATGGAAATGCACACTTTTTAAAGATGACAAGTCTAGGAACAATCTTTAATTTAAAGGGTCTTATCCACAGTTTTCATAAAGAAATGTTAATTAAAAGTGTGATGACATGTTTGGGATTTAAAGGAAATCATTCTGCGAAGGATTTATAGCAATCACAGCTCCAGAGCATTAGGATTACAGATCCTTATGCTGTTCCTTTTCAGCGATCATGTGATTGGCCTGTTGTTAAATATAGCTCCCATTTAGTGAATTGAGACAGGCACAGGAAAGGTAGGGATAGTTTCCCTTTAACCAGTGGGATTTCAGAGGTGTTGGAGATTATACAATTCATTAGTTTTTACATAAGATCAAAGGGAGAGAGGAAGTCTTAATTTGGGCACCAACTGCTGATGTCTGAAAGTCTTGCAGATTAAATGAGAAGAGAACATGTGCAGTGCTAACTGCTCGTATTAGAGCATGAGCCTATTGTTTTATATCTCGCTAACTCATTGTTCTCTTCCCAGAGATAATTCTCACACTTAAGACCTTCAGAGATAGTTACGTCTATTGTGAATAGTTCAGCAACCAACTGGCTCAGAGGTTATTGCCTAAGCATCTTTTCCCTTAGTCTAATCCCCTGGAAGGTTTTTTTCTGAGCAGTGTTATTAATCTAAAATGACTGCTAACTGACTCCTGTGTCAAACATTATTCATTATGTGCTTTAAATGCTTCCTGCAGAGGCCAAAATAAATTTTGCTTTTTAAAAACAGACCACAAGGAGTGCCTATGTAGGATATTTCCTAAAAGATTAGACTCAGAATGGTAGTTAAGATGATGAGGAGAAAAAACTGCTCAAAACAAAGCTTCACAATTTAACCAGGGACATACAAAATGGACAAACCTCAGTTACCAAAACCCACTTTTTGCGTAGTATTACCCATAAACTGTTCTTGTGAGAGAAAACGTGTACCCTTGGAGGGCAGAAGAAACACTTTCACAAAGACAAAGAATAAGTGACCTTATTAGAAAATGAAAGCCCCATAAACAAAATTTTAAAAGCAGTAATTCTTTTGTGTCTTAAGGGTTTTTTTTCAGGTGTCACTGGTGTTGGCATAAAGTGAGAGGGGTTTTCGTGTCACTGGCACTGACAGGCCTTGCATGCATAATGACAGCATGGGAAAAGAGACAGACAGATTTGAATAGCAATAAGGTAGTTTTTCTTCCAGTGTGAAAAGAGCATGGGATTCATGTGTACTGAAATGAAGTATAGCCTTGCTGCACAGTGCAAATATTTAATGCTATTCTAACTATCCCTTGGTTATTGGAGTGTGACAGTTAATAGCCATCAGCTGCCAAACCCAGTGAACAATTTGGTTCCCTAAAAAAGAAAATGAAAAGTTAAAAAATGAAGCCAAGTCAGACTAGAAACCCACAAATCATAAATGTGCTTTAGCTTAGCAGGCAGATCATCTCCAAAGTTAGAGCCATGTCGACAAGAGCTGCTTCTCAAATGAGAGGATCGAGTATTTCTGTCTTCTAGTTCTACCTTTGACAGGTACTCGGTGGCAGGTTTTGGCTGGGCTTTCTGCCTCCCAAGGCCCTGCTACTCCCTAGCGATGTTTATAAAGGAGATTGAGTAATGCTGGAATGAAGAAAAGCAAAGCATTATCATTATCCTGGATCGAGTATCTCAAGTCAGTGGTGCAGCATAAATGCATAGAAAAATGGAAGAGCTCCTAAAAGTATAAGAGAAATTATGTGCTTGGAAGGCCTCCCTGTTAACATGGAGATGTTAACATTGGTGTAAAATACTGCCCTAAAAGAAGCATTACTGTGGAATAAGAGCAGCATATGAGAGAATATTTCAAGAAATAGATTCAGCTTGAAAATCACTTCTCATTCTACATATTATTTTTCTTATTCATGCTAGATGTAACACTTCACTGTACTTTAAAATTGCTCTA